AAAAGCCTGGGTCCGAACCCCGGTTCTAACCGATTTCACAATATAATATGGATGATTGAAAAAAAAATATATATAGGCATCACCGGCAAGAATTACTTTTGTGGCCCCTGTACAGGACAGGGGGAGAGGAACTACCCACAGTACAGAGGGCTCTGCGTCGAATTTCGGCGAATTTGGAGCTAGCATTAGGGTTAGGTTTGGGGTTATGCCTAGGAGTAAGGTCGGGGTAGCGTTGACTATATGGTTAGCGTTTGCGTTCAGGGCTAAGATAAAGGCTAGGGCTTAGGCTTATGCTTAGGCTCTCCCTATGCAGTATTAACCCTTCATAGAGTTATGCACAGGGCCACCTCTATAACACGGACGCAGAGTTCCGATAGCGTTGCCGCGCTTAGGCAGCTATAAAAGCCATCCTTAAGCATTAATCATTAAAAACGCTGTAGGTAGCAAAAAAGAGTGTAATTTGCAGGCTTAAGTGGATCACGGAATGCCCTTAAGAGTCATTTCAACAGATTTGAAGCTTCAAGTCTATAGGAGTGGGATTTCGAAACAAAAAAACACTGAATATTCGATGAATTTAGATCAGTAAAACTCATCCAAGAGAGCACTAGTACAGGGCAAAATAGTGGCAGAGAAAATGCATAGTATCTGCTGAAAATATAATCCCTTAACATGTCTTAAGAAGTGGAGATCCAGTTAAATTCTTCAACTCATTCAGAAAAAGCTATTTATCAAAGCTGCTCGGTGGGTTCTATGTTTAATATTAGGAAAACCAGCTTAAACAGTCGGCAGCGCTGGGCTCCATTTGTCGCAATAGGTTGGATGAATAACGTAGCCCAAACATGAAAAGATGCAAGAATCTCAGTCTAGGTCTCGTAGCTGAGGTGCTCAGGGTATTGACTGCTTTCAAACCTCACCCTTGGGAGCTTGGGTTCTAATACGACTGGGGCTGCCGATACGCTTCCCTCTGTTATTCGTTTTCGTAAAGCTCTGAGCATTAAATATATAGAATTTATGCTAATACATATTAAGATATTATTAATATATATTAATTTAATTACCTACTACTGGCACACGCGGGTTTCCCTTATGTGTAAACCAAAGTA